CTGCACTGACTCAAATGAAGCTTACTGCCCGAATGGGCAGGACTACTAACCACGGTAGCTCAGCACATGCATCCCTGACCCTTGTTTGGCAGCAAAACCTAGGATTAGTAACAAGCCCGCAGGCACGGACAGTAGCACAGTTCGACTTTTTTAGTAGTACCCAGACTAAACTTGTTGCAGATGCACAGTCTACACAGTCGCGGACTTTGAATGCGCAGTGCCACACACGGGGCAGGGCAGCATCCTACCAGCTCAGATCGCAACTGAAGTCCGTAGACTATAGAGCCCCACCACGTACTGAGTCAAAGAGTAACCCCGGCAGGCACCCGTCACCTTCTCTGCTCCGGTACGTAGCCTCTCTCCCTCTCTCTCTCTCTGCGCGCTCGGACCGTAACCACTGCACCCACTGTCAATAATCCAAACAACAACACCCGACCACTCTTCTGCCTTAGTGTCGGCGGACACGTTGTGTTTTTGGGCTATTGTTTGTAGGCGGATCGAAATGCGCACAGTCGACTGAATCTTCCACTCAGACGTGGAAAGACACATTGCCATCCTAGGATCCCGTTTCTCCAGGTTTCCCCCTCTAACTTGCTGCATACCCGAACCGCAGCCTACAACGGAGCCATGCACTGGTCAACAGGTGAGTGCCCACCCCTGAACTACGGATCAGCTATTCCCCAGGCTTGATTCCGAAAAACAATCGAGTGAGGCACTTACCTTCCCGCGATATACGTACCTGGCCACGACTACGGCCAGGTTCAGTTGCAAACAGCCAACGCGATTCGAGCGCAACCCCGAAATGCTACCCCCGCAAATCTATGAGCTAACACTTGGATCCGATCTCGCCATCGGCTTCACTTCATAAAAAAAAATCCCCGCTCAGCACTTTAGTTCGACCGATCTCATCAGGAATCGAGCGAACTCTCACTTTCTACTCCCTACGCCTCCGCCATCGCCATAACTCCGCGCACTAACCTCTACTTCTACCTCTAATCCTACTGACCTTTGACTAGAACTGACCTCGAAAGTAGAATCGCCCGCCGTCAAAACCCCGAACACGAATCTTATCTCGCCTGATTCCGCGTAGAGATGAGCAAACTACACTAACTTCCTCTTCTTCCTTCTTCGAATGAATCCGGCCTCGAAACGCGCCCGGATTCATTCCCTCTCTTTTCCCCTTTGCTGCTGCCCGTCACTCTTCAGCGCTGCGCCCCGCCTTTTCGCTCGCCGCTGCACAGTCGTTCCCTGCCTTTGTTCGACCCAGCGCCCGTTCTGCCACAGCCGAGCCTCCTTCACCTCTACCCCGCATGCACCCGGCCCCGAACTCCGTCCCGATGCATTTGTCTTTCCCCCTTTGCCTTCCCGCACCCCGCTGGTCCGCTCGCTACCGCTTACTACCCGCTTCGTTGCTCCGCTTAGCATGCATCTGCGGCGGGATCCTGTCCCGTTCCGTCCCTTCCCCTCGCTAGCGTCTGTCTCATACCCGCCGCTCCAAATGTCTACCCTCCGCTGTGTCGTTGCTTGCCTTCACTGCTCCTCGTTGTCGCCAACCCGTACTCCAGCGCACCCCGGCGAGTAATGCGGCCGCGCCCTCAAGATACCATCGAATGAACTCCGACAGTACTAATCCAAACAAAAAAAAACGGGGAGGCCGCCCCCCCCCGCTTTATACTCCTCATCCTTGTGCGGGGGCCATGCTAATCTTCTCTGTATCGTTCCAATTTTAACGGATGTCCCGAAGGACTCTTCCTAGCAGTTGGCGCCTCGCGGCACTTCCAAATGCCGCTCCGCCCCCTACCTATTCTTAACCTTTTCGCATCTGCATCCACCCCTTTTCTCTCGCCCGGGTTCACTCCCGGACTTACGAGAGCTATGCAACGGCCGAACTGGCCACTCCACACCTCTGCGCTTGATCGCACGGCCCTGCGGCACCCTGACGGGGCGACGGTAACCTCTGCCCTCGGCACTACCCAAGTGGGCACCCCCCCCTTGACCGTCGCTCCATGCCCCGGTCCCGCCATTCGAGTTCAAACGCAGGTTTGTATTTCCACAGTGCGTGGGTGCGCCACTGAGGTAGGCCCTTGGATCCCGCTTCAGGTCCACCGCGCCGTGTCCTAAGTCAAACGGGCGCAGTCAGGGTAACCCCCACGCAGCCAAGAATCACTGCCGGCAATTGCACTGCAAGAAATCCCGTGACTACAACATACCCCCCCCCCCTTTGCGCAATTTTCACGCCCACCTACAGGGTGGGACAAATAATACTAGTATTAAAACTTTGAAATAAATAATATATTTACTTATACATATATGGACATATAAGAACCGCAATGCACGGGGTAATCAAGCGAAAAGTTGCGGCCCCCGTGGTAGCAAAAAGGCGAGGGGGATAGTCCTACCGGCCCATCAACCCCTCAAGCCCTTTTCGCAGCGCTCCTCCGCTCCCTTATCGCATGTCGTTGGCCTTGATCCCTGTGTCTGCTGCATACCAGTCCGGTGTTGTAACCTATAGGGCTAAGCCCAAGCCTGGTACCAGCACGCATGAGTCACCTAATAAAGAGGTAGCCCCCGACCCTTTTGCGGTCAAAGGAGCCACCCCACGCCATTCCCTGACCCGCACTCACTCACATGACCATAAAAAGTTGCGCCAACCTCCCGGCTGTGCCGCGGCTACCCTTACCCGGCCGAATCCATCAGGTCCCATCATCTGGATGCCGCGTAAGGCCACACTGGCTCAATGACCCGTCCATTGTACCACAGAGAACCAAATGAACAAGGTACTCATAGGCTAAACAGTTCAATCAAAACAAAAATGACATATGCTGACAAAAAAAATCCACGCCACGTCTGCCAGTTTAACCAAAAGAAAGGAAAATCACGCGCGCCTCAAACTTGCGCGCCCACGCACTCCTTACTCTAGTCAACCACCTAGTCAACATAAATCACAGATGCGGCCATGCCGAGCGTGGCCTATTTAAACTTTAATCCAAACGGCTTTTCTGTCGTTTGCAAAGACCAGGGCGGATACCCTTGTAAGGGTATTCGCACCGACAACTTACCGGACCATATTAAGTGACGTCCCCGTCGCTTCGCAGGATCAAAAGCTATCAATTCAACCACAATCCCAAAATGCTGACGAGCAAGGTACCAATCCGATTAACCGACAGACCCAGGGTTGATGCCTCCAATAATTCATGCCAAACTCAACTTTATGCTGTCAGGATTCTAACCTGGGTCTCCGTCGCCCTGACACTCGGAAATCGGGATACTCCTCACTGTACTACAGCATAAGCTATATTGGATCTCTTACCGTCCCCTTCCATGTGCCCTAGACAACCGCCGGCTTCTCGTTGTGTGCCCCTAGCCCTTTCCCTTGAAACCAAGTCGTGACTAGGGGCGCGGGCCCTAACCGAGACCTTCGAAGGTATTATCTCGCCTTCATCTAAAAAATCTTTACATTAACACACGTAGTCGTACCACATAGATTCTCACATAAGCTCTCCTGCAGTCTAGTACAGGAAGACCAGGTCTCCATCTTGGCCCACCATAGTCTGGGCGATCATTCCAGATCTACGGCCCACCGCATTGTTATTTTAGCGGTAGTGCCTTCGCGGGTTGCGCCACGATAGGCTGTTCCTGATAAGCACCCAATCAGGACTTCCTCAAAAAGACTCATATCACTTGACTCTTATCCCACGCCTCTCCGCAGGACTAAAGCCCTCCTAGGCGTTCACGCCCCTTTAAGTCTTTTACTCCCTTGGCGAGACGCAGACCCTCTGCTCAGGTTGTGCCAAACAGCGGCCAACACTAAGGGTTGCGCCTTAGTGATGCTAGTTATACCCCTAGCTGGGTCTCTTACAAATGTCCAAGATTAGCACAAGCGGCCAGCCGGTGTGTCGCAACAATACAAGTCCACTGCGGGACTAGGCATAGACCTGTCGCACATAAAAAGGTATTTACCAGTTCCTTTGTGGGACAACATAGAGGAAGCACGACAACCTCTCCACAATCACAAAACAAAATCACCGTCTGATTCACAAGGCAGTGGCCTCCCAGCTTGATCAGAGCAAGAAAGTCACACATCTTGATGACATCTCTTAAAACACACCATTTGCGACATCCAAGAAATTCACCAATAGTCCAACAAAAATTTGGTCCTTCTCGTCAGTCTTTTCAAAATCAATCTTCCATTAATCAATCTTATTAACCACCTTATTATAGAGGAGGTCTCACTTTATTAGGTCTCTCAGTCATCCCTCTCTCACTGGGATGACTTCTCTCGCGATCTTTTCTTTAACGCATCTTCCCTCTCTTGAAGGTGTGTCTTCCAAATAGATAATGGACAACCTTTCCATTCACAGGTGTCCCACTCATCATATACTCCATAAAAAAGACCAACTTGTGGGTCTTCTGCACAGCTCAATAATTGAATACTCACCATACGAATATTCAAGATCCTCACATCCTTTCACAAAACAGATTACGCTTCCTTGACTTATACTCGGCCCTCTCATCCGCCCAAGGGCAAGTCGCACGACTATACCGGCGAGTAGATAGTTCACATTCATCCAGATTCACAAAGTACAAGATACATCAAGCATTTTCTCGCGCATATTTCACACCAAGCCATCATCCATCAAACTAGGATCACACAAGTGAGTGTGAGAGTGATCGTCATATACAACAAGTAGTCCCCAAAAAGGTCTCGATATAATGTACACTCAGGGATTAAATATCCCACATGAAATGCCTCCAACATACACTCAGGGGCAGAACGCCCCATACACAACTGTCCCTAAATCGTAACCCACTAAACTCACTCAAAACCACACTCACACTGATGTCGTCCTCAAAGTATAAGTTGGGTCTGTCTCTCGGAGATCAGGGCGTAGGCCACCTAAGTATGTACAGGCCTCATCTACCATATCCCGGTCCTCAAGATGAAAGATTTCAACAAAAACCCAACCCAAACTGCCTGACAAAAGCAAACAACACCTAGTCTACAAAATGTCATCCAATCCTATCTCTTATCCTATACACAACATGTCAACCATATAGGAAAACTCAGTCCTGGTCGCTCATCTCCTCCTGGTTTTGCCTATATAGTTGAGCCCTACCCCCATCTGCAGATCTCTCTACTCTTCTGCCCTCTCTATCATACATCCTGCCTCCTTCCTCTTTAACCTTCCCTTCAGCCTTGTCCTTTAAGAACTTAGGACATTGCAAGGCTCGATGCCCCTCCTTTGTACAGAAGAAGCAGGACGTATCGAACCACTTTCTGGGCCTCTTCTTTCCCCTCTGAGACCCTGGCGATGATGGTGCTTCGCTGACCTCCCTCCTCAACTCATGGCTCTGAGGCATATCCAAGGGCTCCTCTCGTGTCTCCACTTCCTGGGTACTCGGTCCAGGTCGGTCCTCAATCCCCCCTGACCCATACTCGGGCGTGCCCAACCTCTGGAGCCCGCCCTCGATGACACCCTCAGCCTCAATCCCCATCTCTCTCTCGAGAGGCTCCTTTATCCTCTGCTCAGGCGAAAACAAACTCGCCTCCTCCTGCATCGAGTGCACTGCCTCAATGAGCACGTCCATAGATCCCTTTGCCGAGCCCTGAGCTGGCTCACTGCTGGATGGTGGTCGCCCCTCCTTAATTGCCAAAGGTATGACTGGGCCCCCCGCTGCTATAGGTAGCGTCGCGAGCTCAGTAGGGGCTCTGAACTCGAAGGCCTCTCTCTCTGCCTCCCTCTGGGCTCTCGCCTCCTCTGGCTCCAGGATAACTCTCCCCATAGGTGGCTCCTGGCGAGTCTCTGCTACAGATGGCTGTCCGGGCAAACCATGTCCTGGCTGCCTCTGCTCTCCCTGCCGGCTGCTCTCTGGCTTGTCCGCCCCTCCCTGAGATCGCTGCCTCAGGCTCTCAATGATAGCTGCCTGGCTGGCCACCAATGCCCTGAGTTCCTGGATTTCCACCTCCATAGCCTCCAGGCGTACTCCATGGCCGGCTTCCTTTATCTTCTTTCCTGCCAGATCGCTCTCCAATAGCAAGTGCCGGTCAAAAGTTGCCTTGGCCAGGAACTTGATTTTTCGATCCAACCTTTCTTCCGCCTTCCTTGCCACCCCAAACCCAGCTCTGACTGGCGAAGGAAGCTCCTCTCCTCTCTGCTCCCAGAAGTCCCTCCACATCTCAGGGATCTCCGGGGCCTTAGCTGGCGCGCTGGGTGGCTTACATGGGAGTGCTCCTGCTGCCTCCGACCTCTGCCTCTCCTCCTGCTGCTCCGGAAGCTCTCCCACCGCCTCCAACCTCTGCCTCTCTTGCCATATCTCGTCTATCCTCCTGGTTCTTCTCGCCCTCTTTTCCTCTGCTGTCTCTCCAGGTGGCGCCCTTTCCCTCATGTGGAGGTCAACCCTCTTCGGGATCTCTGCCTCCATCTCCTTCAAAGGGCTGGCATGGCTCCTGGCGCGGCTCTGCAGGTGCTGGCTCCTCCAGGTCTGGGTGCTCCAGGGCATGAGCTGCTAGGTGCCTGTCAATCAGGGTCAAAGCTTCTCTCCTTACAGTTGCCCTCTCCATCCTGCTTTTTGCCCTCCTCTCTGGCAAAGGAGCCTTTCCTGATGAAGGCAATGGGGCCTCCTCTCTCTGCAACCTTTCCCCTGCCTGGCAAGTGCTCCCTAGTGCATCCCCGAGTCTCAAACCCACCGCTGGCGTCTGAGGGGGCGTGTCCTCTCCAACCTCTATCACTTCCTTCCCTGCACGTCTCCCCTCATCGCCTAGTCCTCTCTCTCGCTGAGTATCCCGGACCTCCTCTCGTGGCATCCCCTCTCGTGGCACCTCCTCACGTGGCACCTCCTCACGCGGCGCCTCCTTTGCCGGCTCTCCATGCTCCTCACCCCAAGGCGACGCTCTCCACTGAGAGATATCCAAATGCGCCTCCAACTTCCTCAAATGCTCCTCAGATGCTGGCGGCTCCCCCTGTGTGCGTACTGGCGACCTCCTCAATCCACCCTCGGCAAACCGATGAAACTCCACTGGTCCCAACCCACACTCAGGGTACGCGCCTCGCTCCTCAGCCTCTGGCTCTGGCTCCTCCTCCCTCCTAGCTAGGGCCTTTCGTCCTCCTCGAGACGGTCTCGCCTCCCTTGGCTCAGGGTCCCTCTGCCTTTCACTCCTCTGACGCCTCTCAACTCTGGGCTGAGGGGGCTGGCCGTCGAAAGGCCTCTCTCAGATGTGCCCTGCAGCTCTCCCAGTCCCGGGCCACGCTTCTGACTTGGCTAGCCAGTGGTCTTTCTGCCTTTCTGGTCCAGAGTGGTACCGTCTGCATCCAATCATCTCTCGGTATACCCTGCCCCTGCATGAACCACTCAAACGCGGGGATGAAGTCCGACGCATTTCAAATCTCCAGGCGGATCGACCTGCCATCGGGTCCCACAGGCGAGGGTTGCAGCTCCTGCATCGTGCAGTCCACCTCTGATCTCGTCGTCGCCTCTCTACGGATTCGCGCGACGGCCTCTTCGAACCTGCCTGCTCCCCTCAGTCTTTCAATCGTCTAGGCCACGGTCCAGCCCATACGCCTTGCATGATCCCAAAAGCTATCCAGGAATAGCTCGATGTCCCCATCATTGTACACCGGAGTACTCTCTCGATGGTGAGGCCCATGCCGCTCATATCCTCCTGATGCTCCCAACGGCCTCCGAGGCGGTCGTGTCCCCCTTCCTCCTCTTGGCATGACTGTCTTCGTAAAGTCATACGTGCACAATAGGCGAAGGAGACAAACAGGCACACATTCGGGTAAGCAAACAGGTGATAGTCAAAGCAAGCCCTGACCAGACCATACTCATGCAGCATACATCCTACCTGACTTACACACCCTATTACTTCTATTTTAAAGGCAGTCAAGTCATCTCTCTTACCTCTTCTCTCGCCACAAATTTCTTCAGACGCGTTCCAGATACCCAATCCTTCCACTCAGTCTCATTTAGCTCCTCAATTTGGTACGCTCCGAAGTCTCCGACCTGTATGATCCGGTAAGGACCTAACCAACTCTTATTGAGCTTCCTGGACCACTGCTTTTCCACCGATGAATCGTAAAGGAGTACGACATCCCCAACTGCCAGAGGTACTTTCCTCACCCGAGCAGACTGATCCCATCGAGTCTTATCATCCATACGACTTCTAGCCACTTGATCGGATGCCTCCTGGATCCTTTTCTCTATCGCTTCTATCTATCGCGTCCGAATGTTGAGCAATTCCTCAAAGGACAGGTCGACTTCCAGATCCTTGCGCCTCCAAGTTTTAAGAAAACTCTCGATAGGGAAGGTGGCGTGTCTTCCATACTACAGCGTCGGAGGTGCGTACTCGGTGGATCTTTTCACTGTAATGTTCTCGACAAAGAATGCTGCCCTCAGGTATCTTAGTCATTGATTAGCCCTGCCTTTAGTCCACTTAGCCAGGAGACTCGTAATGGTACTATCCCCTCTTTCCACCGGAGCATTCGCCTGGGGGTGCGCGGTCGTGGTGTAGTTAGCTACTACACCATACCTTGATAACAACTCCTGCACCTCCTGGCAAGTAAATTCTGATCCCCTGTCCATTACGAACTCCCTGACGAAAGGATAATGCAGGTAGTACTCCCCGATGCAGCTAACCAAGACTGAACCAGTCTTGGTACGAATGACACGTCCGTCTACGAAGCCAGACAAGTTATCGCGCGCATCGAAGATGTAGTTATAGCCCCGATCCCCAAGCGACATGAAAAGTAAATCGACATGCACTACAACCCCTATCTCTCGCTCTAGCCTTGGATGCAGCGGCTCTCTTTGCCTCAAACAAGATCTCTCTTGATAGGGTACACAGGATCGACAGAATTTCCCAACCATGTCCATCATCCCATCCCAGTAGTACAACTCACTTATCTTGGCATACGTGGCTTGTATCCTTCGATGCCCTCCAGCAATGCCATCATGAAGTGCCGCTACGACGTCAATCTGGCGGTTCCTACCACAGACGACCCTCCTGGGATTCCCCACTTCTCTTCTTACGAAAAGATGGCCATCCGGAACTAAGTAGCGCTGCAGCATCCTCTGAGCCCTATCACTTGCATCCCTTAGCCGCATCTCGCAAGACAGGAGAAGCCCCAGCTCCATGTAGATCCCATCATATTCCTCTACGCGAAAGGCCTCCTTAATCTCACCCTCCTCGAACTCGTCGTCCTGGCTCTCGGGTACTTCGTCCCCATTCCCTGCTGGGTTCAACGAGCCTGACTGGTCGAGGCTTTCATGCAATAGCGTGTTGACGAGGAGATACATTCCTCCCATCAAATCCTCATGCCGTTCTACATGGCCTGGTCCTTCCTCGATCGTTCTTATGTCTTCCACCAGACTATGCGAACTGGCCAGCGCCAACTCCATCATCCACTGAACATCCTTACCTCCCCAAGGATCTTCTTCTTCAAAGGGTTTGAGGACCCACACAGCTAGGCACCCGCGGCGACCACTTGTTGATATGGAGACAAACATCATCCTCTTGATCCAGGAATCCATCAACTGGGGGCGTATTCTCTACCGCCTCTCCTGTCTGATTATCCCAGTTGATATGACTCAGCCCGTCCGCCCGGTTCTTGCTACCAGGAATACGCTCCAACTCGAAGTTACACATCCAGACGTACGTCAGCCATCTGGCAACCGTCGGATCCGATGGAACGTAATTCCTCAGAGAGTAGGCCAGGGTGGTCGGGTCCACTCTCAAAATAAACCTCCTGCCGAAGATGTAGTTTCGAAAAATCCGTAGACAGTGGAGGACAGCAAGGGTCTCCCTTTTGAACTGAGAGTAGTTTCTCTCTGTCGTACAGAGAGTCCGACTCTCAAATCGCAAGGGTCTTTCCTTTCCTTTTACGTCTGCCTGAATTAGAACTCCTCCTAAGGCAGTTGGCCCCACATCTGTTTGGACAATGAAGGGTCGTGTCTCTGTGGCATCATAATCTGGCGCTCCTAACACCAACCCTCCCTCTCGAAACTCCTCCTTCATTCTGACCACCACCTCTTCTTGCTCTTCACCCCAAACCCATTCTTGATTCTGACGGACTAGCTTCCTCAGGTGTTCAATCTTGGCGGCGAAGTTTTTGACAAAGGTCCTCCAAAATCCACACGTACCAAGGAAGCTTCTGACATCAGTTATTGAGTGGAACGGAACTGGCCACTCAGTAATCTTGTCCGTCTTTTTTACATCCGGCGTTCGGCCCCTCTCGCTACAGACCAACCCCAAGATAGTCGCTTCCCTCATACAGTGTCTGGATTTGGCCCCGCTCGCCGTGAGGTTATGCTCCTCGAGCAGGCTCAGGACCTTTTCGAGGTCCTGGATGTGCTTCCAAACAAAGCACCTTACCCCTGGTGAGACTTCGTCGCTCTCCTTCACTGCCGGCCCCTTTACCGCCAAATCATCGATGTATGGTTGTGTGATATGAGGGCCGACTGACTGCATAACCCTTGTGGGGCCACGTTCATGTGGATTAATCCTCCCGGCGTGTGCATAGCCATCACCGGCCTGTCCGGCGGGTAGACCGGAAACTGATCATATCCTGAGTAAAGGTCTATAAGTGAGATTATAGGCCTCCAAGCATAGGATTCTAATAGAGCATCCGCATTTGGCAGTCCTCCAGCGTCCCGCACTATCACCGCATTCAGCCTCTGCAAATCCTGCACCCACCGTAGCGTCCCGGTAGGTTTGATAAAGCAGAACCACGGGGACGCATACGGCCCACTCGAATAGTCGGCGACGTGCGTACGTATCTTGTCGTCGAGGTAATCCACCACCTTCTTCTCCTCGTCAGGATTAGGATATCGCGCCCCTCGCATGTTCCAAGGCTCGTGCGGCACGGTATGGATGCGGATCATAGGTATTTTGTCCACATCCAGCCTGCCACGCTCCTCATCACTAAACGCATAGGCATTGTGCCTCCTCTTCATCAACTCCACCATCAATGTCCGCTCCTGAGGCAGTAGGAATTCGGACTCCCCTATAATCAACTCCCCTTCATTCCCTTTGTTGATATGACATGGTCCTGCTAAAACATTCTTCCTCATTCGCCGTATCAACCCTCATTCCCTCTCGTAATATGCTTCCTCGTCCTCTGTAACGAGGACGGAAACCGGGTGGCACTTCTTGTCTACCGTCTTGTACCACCTTTGGGAACCCTGCTTGAGCCGTCCCCTAAAAAAGGTCGACTCATAGACTGCGCCTGCGCGGACGCGGGGTTCCTTTTTCCGTCCGGAAGACGATATACCAGCTCCAATCTCCCCGCCTCGGGGCATTTCAGGACCTGCTCCCTCAAGGCTTGGATGACATCCGGATCCGCCATCTCATGTGCGGCCACCAAGTCCATGGCCTTCCCGACGTCCGATAGGCTAAGGGAAAACGTTTTCACCTCTTGTTCTCCTTCCGGCTCAGCCCGAAGCCTTCGGCGCTTGCCCTTCGATTCTTCAATCGTGAAGGATCCTGGGTTGGGCCGGTTCCTTATACTCCTCGGTCCTGTATTTCTGTAGGTAATTATCTCGTAATTCCCTTAGGCAGGGTCACATAGGAGGAGGATCAGAGTACCGTCATGCTTGTTGAACATCACGGTTTCTGTCCTACTCAAAAATGACCTCCCTAGGAGGATCCCATGGTCCACGTCCGGCATAATGAAGAAGCAAGCTCGGGCCTTCACCTTTCCAACCTCGATGAGTACATTCGAGGCTGTCCCACAAAATACGGCCTTGCAGCTGGCGTCGTGCAAAATACCGCAGTCAGATCGGTCTATGTCTAGCCTGAATCTGATAGCATCCGCCTCCCGGATGATGTTCATTTCCGCCCCGGTGTCCACCATTGCTGCATACTTGGAGCCTTTCACCACTAAATCCACCGTGGCGCAAGCCACGCACTTCCAGTCCATTTTTGTACCCGACTCTGCCCACTCAGCCTCCTTGGGTAGGATCGTACCCAGATGGATATTGGGCACCAAGCGCCTCGACAATCTCCCCTTCAGTTCATCGCGGAGTCGCGGGGCCGACGCTAGGATTTCCTTCAGGGTCATGATATCATTATCCCCTTCCAGCAGCCGGTCAATCACTTTCTCTACGTCAAAACCTTCTTCCAACCGAACCGCGTATTTCTTCTTTTTGGGCGGTCCGTCGTGTATGACCGGTTCGCCCTCTCCCCTGGTCCCCTTTTTCCTTGCCCGCTGCTCCGCCCTCTGATCCTCTTCTCGACGCAGCTTCTCATCTTCTTCCTCTTCATCATCGTCATCCTTTACCTCCACAGCCTCTTTCCTTTTTCCCGGTTCGGGCTCCCTTCTTGGAGGTTCTTGGCTGGCACTGGCCTTAGCCCGACTTCTTATTCGCGCTGCCTGTGCTAGTCGGGCCTGCGGAGTGAGGAGTCTACCCATCATTCCTGACTGTGGGCTCGACCCCACCACATTTACTCCGAGTCGCCCAGGCGCTGACTCCGGGCCGGAGTCATAGAGGAACACCTTGGGGATGTTAGACCTCCATCTCTTCACTTCGTCGCAGAGGTCTACCAACTTCTGCTAGTATCTTCCCACCTTGTTTAGTAGGTCCTCCATCTTTCCCAATAAGACGGATGGTGATTTCATCCTTCCTTCCTCGTTTTCATCATCCGATTCGATGATTATGGGCTCTTCCCTCCTACTTCCTCCACGTGGTCCTTGGGTCACTTCCTCGTCGCTCCCCACTTCCTCTACCCCAATCAGTGGTTCCTCCTTTTTCTGCCATAGCCTGAACCTGGCAGCCGGTGGCGGCCCGGCTGCCGCCTTTCGTTGGGCTTCCGCTCTCACTCCTCTAAGCCTTCTGTCAATGGCCTCCCCAAACTGATCGTAAATGTTCCCATCCATGGTGGAAGAGATCAGCCCGCTCCTCTCGTCTTCCCGTCTTATTTTACAAAACCTTATGGTGTGGCATTGCTGGTCACAATGTTGGCAGATGGCCGTCCTCCAGTCAAAACGGGGTCTCCCATACCCCTGACTTCCCTTATCCCTTTGGCCTTGATACCCCTCGCCTTGGTACCCCTGGCCTTGATTCCCCTGGCCTTGGTACCCCTGGCCTTTGTACCCCTGGCCTTGGTTTCCTCGGCCTTGCCCATTCCATTGCCCTCCTCTTCCGCCACCATTCTTGCCTCGCCTTCTACCTCCACCCCTCCCTCTGTTGCCTTGGTTGCCCTGCCCCTGGTTCCCACCTCTTGCCACGCTGCCCTGTGAACTGGGAGCAGGTGACGGCGGCGGCGCCACAGGCTGGGCCTGGGCTGCGGGGTAGATGGGTGGCGGCATACTCATTTGCGGTCCGGCTACAGGTGGCGGGCTACCCTATGGCACAATTGCATTGATCAACGGCCACGCCCACTGTCCGTAGGAGGGTGCCCCTCCTTGCAAGGGGCCCACACTAGACGAGGGCGCCCCCACACTTGGAGGAGCCGCCGCCACTGCCTGAGGCGCCTGCGCTTTTCCTGATCCCTGTCCGCCCTGCGCCAAGTTACGCACTTTGCGCTGGGCCTACGTCAGGTGCTGCGGCACCTCCTTGTTCATCTCCTCCACGTCCGCGGTGGTCAGCAATCCGTTTCCCACGCGGTACTTCCTTTGCATTCCCTCCTTGAATCTTTCCCAGCTACCTTGGGCTGCATCTATAACTTTCTTCACTTCTTGGTGGTAGCTGTGGAGAACGTACTGGAGAATGCGTTGAAATTTTACAACATCCGACCGCTCGACCAGAGCTTGTTCTACTCGCTCCGGCCATTCTGAGACTCTCTCCCCACAAAAATGGAAGGTATCGACCTTCGGGATATTGCTCGGATTTCTTTCATGCCTGTCAATAGCCGCAATAAGGTCATTAAGCATCAGACCTTTCTTAGGAGCACCTCATGTGCCGCCGCCCTACGACATCTTGACAGACTCTTCTCCTCAAGCTCCCTGATAAAAGAAAATCAAACACACTCCTTTATTCGGCATTTCACCTTGACCGGTCTATTCCTTCTGCTCTTCCTAACCCTTACTGCATACTTTACACAATGCTAACACGTACGTCCTTCATACTTCCCTTAACTCAGGTAGGTAAACTTTCTCACCTATACTTTATCACTCATTACTTTTTCTTACCTTCTTGTCCTTCCTTTATGCCTATTTCCTATTCACTTCTCATACCCGGATGTCGTTCCACCAGGGACAACGGTAGGCTTTCCGTTATCCCCAGCAACGGCCCCACCTGTCGAGCGCATCGGTCCGGCACCGCACCAAGGCAGCGCGGGGCCCTCCCGGCCGCGTCACGCAGAAGTTGCTTTTAAAATCCTTCCTTGCGAATATACATGTAGCTTCCATAAGCCGCTCCGACCGAGTGCGCCAACCATACCTCTCGCGAGCCCCTACGACAGGATAGGGTCTACGCGAGGCACGACTTACCTCCACGTTACGGGAGCTGTCACCTCCCTCCGGTGGGCGTATCCCCACCGAGCTACTAGTCCACAGTACGAAAGCTAATCGGTTGCAATCGCAGAGGTGGATCAACCGAGGGCGTTTCTTGTTCACTGTAGCATAGGGGGTACGCGTGGTAATACGCCTCTATCGGACCCGTACGCGAACCACCATCATGGGGGGCTGAAGTCCCAAGCGCAGTTCGTCGTCGGTCGACTAGGACGCATCCTACACACCACGCGCACACCACTTAACGAAAAAAAAAAAAAAAAAAAAAAAACCACACACACACACACATACGAAACAACACAATATAAACAACGCGACAACCCTCATAGCCCCTCGGTAGCCGCCCCATAACTTCCTGATACGGAAATCCGATAGGCGTCGCGCGCGAGACTTAGTATAAATCCGTGCGAACGCAGGGCTATCGCATAGCGACTTGCAATGCAAATGTGCGCAAGCAGTCGCAATGAAGGCGTACTATGTGGTACCCATACTCACGCGATCCCTGTTAACTGTGAGGGTCGCGTTCGACACTCAAGTGTCGGCTGACACGCGCCTTGAGGGTTAATCTCTCGACGCTGGACAACTGCCATACGCGGTTGAAAACCACACCCTCTTCTGCACCCTGTGCAGAGGGGTTGAGTAGACAGCTTTAAGCTGTCGTGGCGGTCGAACATCAAGGGGTTTGACTTTGACGGCTGCCACGGACTATAACGTCCAACTATAAAAACTCCAAAGAGCAAAAGATAAGGAATAGGCCGAAGGTTCCCCACCTAGTAAACAAAATCATAGCCCTAGGGCGTTGGCGGCCTATAACAATCTCAAACATTCGCCCATATGTGTCAGTCCCTTTGTAATCCCATAACTTTTTACACACTAGGGCGGTAAAACATCGCACGCGAAATTTTAATATAAAGTTGCGCAGCCGATGGCCTATCTCATACCAACCCGCAATGCAGGCGTACGCATGCAGTCGCAACGATGGCGTACTATGTAGTGCCCATAATCAAGCGGTCCCTCGTGGATCCGAGCACTGCTTATGATACTCAAGTGTCAGACTCGAAGTGTCGTGAGGGTCTGATCCTCCACGACACTGCACGGCTGAAGGAATAGCCGTGTGGCCTCCACGAGACCTCCGGCCTTTAGTCTGAGCGTTCTAGGTAGGCAAGGCAAATAGGCTCTGCACGAGGGAAAACCCCTTCCCTGCAGAGCCTAGGGTTTGGGATGTCCTGGACAAGGACCTCGAATCCCGTCCCAGGACTAACGTCCGACTAAGAAAAATCCTTTAGAAGTAAAACCAATAAAGGAAAGGGTCTTCCGTAGGCCTCTTACTCTTAACCCCTGAGCAGGCTTTTAGTAGGGGGTCCTTTAACCAATGACAGTATTCATCCCAAGTATACTCATATATAAGCATATTTAACAGGGGGAAGTACGCGACGATCACTTCTCACAGTCTCATTGGGGTCCCTCACAGCCATACCTATATATGTGATCGCAGACAACCAAATCCAGAATCTGATTCATAGCACATACCTGCAAATCACATCGACGACTCAATCGACAACCCACGCACTACACGGAGTCAACCCCAACCATCTTCAACACTCATACCCCTTGCTTTAGCCATGCAAGCCCCAACCTCCTGTCCAACCTACCTTAAATAAAAACTCAGTACCTTTGTTAAATTGTCATTCAATAAAAGTCTGAGTGAAACCATAACGAAACAAAAAAAGTCACCAGGGCTAAAGCCTTTTAGGTTGAGTGTTGAGGGTGAGTTGGAATCAAGTCGTAAGCCGACGAATCGACAACCGACCTTTTATCAGTGATAACAGATAATGATCCTCAAGGGATCAAGCTGAATCTAGTCCTAACCTTGAATCAGACAACCCAAAGGACCTGTAACATAAGATAGGTCAAATGCCCAGGCTAAATCATCAGCATATGGGGGATAAAACCTCCATAGCACACCTCCTTATGATACTCTCTAGCGCCACCTRTCGAAAATAATCTCACTCTTYTGAAAACAGGRAAAATTTYGKCAGCGCTTCCCGTAGRAAAARTGCYCTCTCAGAATTTATATAAGTYYAAAYATRAAATMAGAAATAACCCTTGACTCTCCAAAGTCCAATTTCGTCTAACTCCCTGAATTAGCAAAATTTTGGACAACACTTCCTTTCGAAAATGAGGTTTCCTAGAATTTTACTAAGCAATATATGCAATCTAGACAAGTTGAACTTTGAGAAGTCAGAAACTTGACYAACTCCCCGAATAAGCAAAATTTTGGGCAGCACTCCCTTTAGAAAAGGAGGCTTTCCAGATTTTTACTAAGCCATATATAATGAAAAAACAATCAAGTCAAGCTTTTGACAAGCCAAACTTTTGACTAACTCCCTGAATTAGCAAAACTTTGGGCAGCACTCYCTTTAGAAAAGAAGGYTTCCCATATTTTTACTAAGTCAGAAAGACAAGTCAAGTTTTGGATAAGGGAARATTTTACTAACTCTTTGGATTTGTAGAAATTTCGGCAGCGCTTCCCGTAGAGAAAGTGGCTTGCCAAGATTTATACAAAGCCAAGTATAAGAAAAAGATCCCARAAAATGCGAGAATYGACCTAAGTAAAAAAAACTTAGCTCAGAAAATGCAGGAATTGAAACTAACTCCTATGGCTCTAGCAMGTGGCGAGCGACTAAAAGCAACTACCTATCAAACTGAAACTCAGATTAAGTAATAGCCTCACTCAGTCACATGCAGGCCAAAYCACAAAGGTAAGTACTCTCACCATCCCAAAGTCAACCTGAACAAACAATAGTTCATGATCTCTCAATGATTTAACCCATTATCCCCAGCTTATATAAGGCATAGGTCAGGCCGTCTGAACTTACAGAACAGCCCAACTTAGCCACGCCTAGAGTCAGAATACCTAAATTTATAGAGCGTTCTGACTTGGCCAAATATACACAAACAGAGGGCACAACTACTTTTCTCTTCTTTGGGTACATGA